CGTGGGGGGCCTGCAGGATCTCGCTGGGCCAGGACGCATCGGCAGTAAAAGTGGTGTAATGTGGTGATAAACCAATGTTCACCAGTGTGTCTCTGTTGTATTTGATACGACGAGGACACGACACGGTGAACGCCGTGCAAAAAGATCAATAACAATAACTAAAGGTGTGACGTGCTGGAGCAGGTACGACAGCTGCCCCACCACCAACATGTCCTTCTGTCTGGTACATCAGTGAAACTCTCAGATGTGGCAGCTGATCCTTCTGGTTTTATGAATTGGAATAAAGTCGCATTTATTGGTTTTGCTCTGAGCTCCGACCTCCTGCTCTGCTGCTAATCAGCTCCCTGAAACCTTCTTAATGGAGCCGAACTGAGCTCGTAACTCTTCTGAGGAACCATGAAGGATGTAAATGTGAAGCTCGTATTAAACGTGGCGTCACAGCCGGTTTCTCTTTGATTCATCTTTAACGACGGAAGTAACCTCCGTCTCTGTTGGTGATGAATCTCTGTTTCCAGGCTGCGAGTTTATCTGCAGCAGCTTTGGTTTGACGTTTGGATTCTCATGAGACATTCGACACGTGGAGGCTTCGTGTGTGAGTTTAGCTTCAGGTGAAATCCCATCCAGGTGGAGGGAAATTCTGTCATGTAGCTGAGAATCCAGAGAATCCGGCCTCTGTCCTGTAAACACAGACGGGACAGAACTGAGGTGGGACTGAAGCTGCTGCTGGTTGACGTGGACGTGGACCGTGCCGCTTTATGTCGCTTGTTTGTGGCTTTCAGAGGAAAACAGTCATTACTGCAGCTCACAGACACGCTGGTCTGTTTGAAACCAACACAAGACAACAGACTCTGATGATTTTAAAGTTAATTCCCTCAAAGCTTCTTCAAATCACAGAACCTCAGCGAGTCAGTCAGATGTGAACACAACAACATGATGCTGCTCGTAGTTGTACTTTCACAGGCTATTCTTATCTGCTGTGTGCAAATAAACATCCATGAATCTGCTTGGAAGTCACAGAATGTGTCGTCACTCCTCACACATGCAGAACCTGACCGAGAATAATGAAATGGTGGCAAATATCTGCCAATCCAAGCTGCTATGGTAGAATTTGGCTGCTTTTAATGCTGCAAATATGAGCTACAAACCGAAGGAGAAGTGACTTATGTGTGTTTTAAGGCGTGTTCTGCTGTGAGTGATGAATTAGAGAATGTGTTTCCTGTCGGACTCAACCTTAAACTGTGAATCGACTCTATGAAGTCATCATTCTGCTCGTGTGTCATCATCCTGTTGAGCCTCAAAGGGCAGTTTGGAGGGACATGAGGTCCATGGTGTGACCCTCTGGTCTTCCTCCCTGTGGACCGTTTTACTCTGAGCTAATAGTAAGATGACACAAACCAGAAAACTGAATTTCTTCGATTTTTTTTTTCTTTTTAAAATACAAACTTAATGAACACGTCCAACAGGTGTTAGCAAAGCTGGAAAACAAAGTGGAGGCTCTACGTACTGGTTTTGAATTGGTTTCCAAACACTGCCTGCAGTTCAGCCGAAGATGGTTGGATTGTCCATCACATGGTCGCAGCTGAGTCACCAACAACTTCTTGTTTGCATCGAGTAGTGCAGAGTTTTTCAGTTTTTGCAGAACCTACTTACTGCTAATGGTTGATTTTAGGCAGATTTCTGAACAACAGTTTTTGGATAATTAATACAGTTCTCAGCTTGGATTAGGTTCATTTCATCAGATGAGCAGTTCAAGGACCATCAGCAGTTAGCGACTTAGTTTTTACTGTTTCTGACCAATAAATGGCATCACTGTGGCCATTTTGGTTGCCTTTCAAATCACTTTAGATAACATTCACCTTGATCGCTAACTATGACAACAAGATTGGACTGGAAAAAACAGTTTAAACTCTAACATGAACTACTTCAGCTGGTGGTGGATGTCCTGTTGTCTCCCTGCTGTCAAGCTTCAGCTCTACTCGAGTTTATATATATGAGCACAGATACCTCCGTCTCCACAAACCTTCATCAGCCCACTGCTCCATCGTCTACCTGAGACAACGTCAGTCAGTCAAACTCAGTTATCTCTGTTGTCTGTCATTTTGCGGACTGCTGAAGCTTATAGGGAATCCAGATGTTTTGGATTGTTGGGTGTTTCTGTCTCTGCCTTTGTGAAGCGCTATGAGATGACTTGTTGTTGTAAATATGCGCTATACAAATAAAATTGAATTGAATTGAATTCTACTGAGTCACATCCACTCAGCCTCAGTTTGATCCATATTATCTCAAGAAAATGTACACACACACACACACACACACACACGTGTGACGAGTATTTCACAGCTGGTCTGATCTGTTCCCCTTTTTTGCAGCATCTGTGTGCTAACACTGACTCACTGCTTTTTCCAAACCATCTGTAAGACACTCAGTCATCTGACACAATGAACCGACATCAGCCATAAATCTGCTGCTAATCCTCCGTTCCAGTCAACAACAACAGGAGGCCAGAGTTTCACACTAAATAAATACACAAAGCACATGAAATAAATCTTAATCCCTTCTAATTAAGCAGAAGTATTGATGCTAATAAGCAGCGCTGGTATTGATGGAACCCTAACCGGAGCCAGCTCTGACCTCAGCAGCACAAACAGCAGCTTAGGCGTGGATCCAGACACGCTGAAATGCTTACTGCGTTGCCTCACACCATTGCATTGCTCAAACACAGCGAGGCCAAACAATCACGCCCTAAAACGCTGCTTCATGCTCAGTGTAAACACTTTAAACGCTGCTCTGCACACCGGACACCCGCCTTCTTTAAACGGTAAATATCCAGTTGGAACACGTCGACGTGGAGCTCGGCAGCGTGTCGTCACCTCTGAGCCGGAGGAAGGTGGTGCTGAGCCGAAGCATCTGTTCCTGCAGAGGCCCTTCACTTTTTAAAGGGCCATAAATCAGAGCCGAGGCTCCGCTCTCTGTTTGAACAGCACTTCACCTTCAGGAACAGCCGGACTGCACAGGAGCTCAGCTAATGGCAGAGATCAGATCTATGTGGAGGACACCAAGCATCTCAGCGGCTCATTTAAAGTGCATTTCTTTAGATGTACGTTCTGTTAAAGTCTCCAGCTTAACATCTAAACATGTTGGACCACAGCTGAACCTGGACAGCAGAAAAACACTGCTTAATACATTTAAACCTTAACTGTAATGCATAAAATGCTCGTATTAAACTTTAGCTGTAACCAGTAAAGTTCATGTTTGTATTTAAACTTCAGCTCAAACATGTAAAAAGTTTAATTAAAGTTTAATCTTAAGCTGTAACTTTGTACAGTTAGCATTAGCATTTTTGCTTCCGCCTTTTTAATTTTACCTGCAGCGATTAATGTTCATATTTAGAACATTTAAATGCTCTAATCTGCAACAGATTATTTTGATTAGTTTAATGAATTTCCTGCTGCTTCTTCGACTCCAGATTGCAGGAGTTTAATCCTATCATTAGGACTTCCATCGTACGTTAGCTGACACGGTGTTGTGTTAGCGTGGCTAGCGGTAGCGTGCTCCAGGTGAGCTGACTGTTCGTCCCTCCAGGTACGTGGACGAACTGAAAGCGTGCAGCAGAAACTCCACGTCCTGCAGCTGAAGTTACGTAACGCAGGAAGAAAAGAGGGAACGTTCCAGCTTCAGTCATGTGGACACTAATGGGACTCTTTCATAACCAGCTGCCTGCTCCAGTTTAACCGCCAGACCAGAACCAGAACTTTCTGCAGGGTCCAAACCTGCTGCTTCAGTCCAGGGTTCTCATCCTTCGTGCTGTTATAAATCAGGCCTGAGCTATGAAACTACACCGATCAATAACAATCAGTATGTTGTCAGAAATAGTTTCAAACCACCAAGAAAACAGGAAGCTGGCTTTCCTTATTGTTGCCAAACTGTTGGTCAATGTGTGTGTGGAGAGGTGTGTGTCAGGAGGGAGCGTTGTGAGTGCGGACAAAGATATTAATAGATGAAAAGTATTTGGCTCCAAGTGCTGGAGATGGAGGCAGATCAGCAGGTCCAGGTCCAGCAGGCCTCGCCATTGGCTGTCTGTTTACACATGACTTCTGCTGGACAGATTTGTTTCTGTAGCTTCAGCATTAACTGTATTAACGCTGTGCCTCGGTGAATGAAGGGATGAAATTCAAATCAACACTTTTTCTGGATGGTCTTTAATGTTTAAAATGATCAGTAATTATTTTATCGGACTGAAATCCGGCCACAGCGGAAATGTCCGCTGTGGCCGGATTTTTCAGATCGTTTTTAGTGACTCGTAGCTTTGTTTACGTGTGAACCAGAGGCCCAGACGCATTAAAAGGTTTTAGCTACGTGTTGTTTGGGCCTAACTTTAGAAAGAAAAAATAAAATGTGTCCATATACAGGCCGCACTTGTCTGTAAGCTGCAGGTGTCCAAGTTGGAACATGAGGTATTTACACAGAAAGATGTTTTAACCTTTAATTAAATCCGTAGTGGTAACATACACACATACGTACTGTAGAGGCTTTTTTTCTGAACACTTCCTGTAACACGGCTGGTTAAGGAAATAAAAACTCCAGCAGCTACCAGGAAACGTCACTGATGGCTATCTTCATCTTCCTCCTGCACTAAAACCACTAAAGTCGTCTTCTTCAGTGTCTTCAGGAGCTGAACAGCCTCAGAGTCACTTTGTCACTTCCTCAGTCTCTCTGTCGTTGTCGCTCTCAGCCTCACTTTGGTCTCGAGGCAAATTCGTAAAAATCCATAAATTAGCCGCATCGTTGTTAAAGCCGCAGCGTTCAAAGTGTGTGAACGAAGTAGCGGCTTGTAGTCCAGACATTACTGTATTTATTTCTCCTCTTTTCCTCAGTTTTTCTGAGGTATCTGGGGAAGCTGGTAGTTTACTTTCTGAGCGCGTGCAGTTGTGATTTTTATGTTCTTTTGCTGAAATAAAGATCTGAGTGTCACTGAAGCTTCTTCTTTTTGTTGTCCTCAGAAGAAAAGCAAAGGCAAGAAAGGAGAGAAAGCTCAGAAAGGCAGCAGCTGCCAAGATGAAGGAGGTGAGTACTGACTTTGAAGAAAGTAGTAAAACATTCTCTGTCTCATTATTCTGGTGTTTAGCAAATAGAAATAATGTTGTGATCCTGACTGACCTGAAACAGGAACAGTTTAGTCTGACTTGATGTCAGACAGTGAGAAAAAAAAAAAAGGTCTTTTTATACGGTGGATGTAAACTTGTGGTTTCAGCTGTACGTACCTACATGTTGTGTTGTGTGGTTTCCTCCCTGGATGTTCTCACACTCATCACCTTCTTTCACTTCCGGCCTCCTCCTCTTGTTTTCTGAACCAGACGTCGTGAGAATCAGCTTGACGTCGAGGTGATTCACTTCGACAGTCAAATGCTGTAATGTGGTTAAAATATCAACTACATAATAGTCTGTGCTGGTTTCTGCTTTATAGCGATGCAGATGGTTTCGTTGGATCTGTGACTAGTTCATATACAGGATTTCATAGATTTGTTTGTGTCAGCCTCTGAAATGAAGCTTATTAAGAGAAAACAGTTGGGTAACATGTAGTGCCATCAATGAAACTTGATTTGTGTCGCTTCTTCTGCACAGGTGGAAAAACAATTTGAGTCTAATGTACATGATTCATTAGACCAGCACCTAATGTCAGGTTTATGCCACAGCTGCCCTAAATGAACAGCAAGGATAATTACCCAAATCATTTCTCATGTTTCTGTAACAGTTAATACACCAGTACGTAGAAGCTCTAACAGAAATGATGTCTTTAATGCTAGAATATGATTATTATGAACTGTAAAAAATAGTAACGCGCATTATTATATCTTGATTAAAAAGAACAAATGTAGTTATTGTGTATGTCAAAGCAAATGAAATGACAAAAATGAATGAATGAAGGTATTTGACTACATAAATGCAAGAATTTACAATAAATCATTATATGATATCTGTAAAACCTGAAGGCCAAAAGCCAGGCTGGAAAGACAATAACTTTTTCTCTGTTTTTGATCAGAGCACAGTTCAGTTTAGTGTTTACAGCTGCGTAGTCATCAAACACAACACAGATGTCTGTTATTCATTCTGTTTCATAGGCTGCCATATAAATATAGTTGACCTAACGGGGCTTCTTTAACCCACATTAACGATCAATAATCCACTGATCATTAAGAAGAATGAAATACAGCGGAGGACAGTTTTTAATTGCTGATGGTCACCACAAAGTCAGATGACATCAGGAGCTTCAAGGACAGATGAAATAAAAACACAGTTATTTATGTTCCTCTGAACCGCAACGCTCCCGTCTGTCGCTGCTCATTAATCAGAATCCAGAGTATTAAACGCACCAAACAGCTGCAGAACTCCTGACTCCGGTTTTTATATACAACGGTACACAAACTGTGATCCAGCTGTGGAGAACATCTGCTCAGCTGGAACACACGTCCACAAATACTTCCACAGCAACTGTATCAGTCCAGGAAATCTGTCAGTGTTTACGGTCACCTCCAAACTGGATTCATACTCCAGAACCAGATCCAACACCAGGTCCAAAGCCAGTTCTGAACAAAGTCCCAAACCATGTCCTAAACTAGTCCCAAACCAGGTCCAAAGCAAAGTCCAACCCAAGCCAAAATGAGTCCAAAACCAGTCCGAAATAAAGTCCAAAACCAAGTTCAAACGACTCCAAAACCAGGTCTGAAACCAGTTCTAAGCTAAGTCCAAACCAGTTCCATACTTAGTGCAGTCATCCACTTTGTCTCTTGACTTCTCAACAGCAACACACTCTGGATGCTTTTGCTTCGGGCACAAGATGTCAGCGCTTCGTTGATGCACTGCAAGAGAGACTGTTTTTAATTACAGTAATAGACAAACGGCACCCTAAACTGTCAATCACTAAACACGCCTGTTGTCATGACATGATAGACGTGATCTGTGACAGCATGCAAAGCCTCTCCTTAAGGAAAAAAACAGCCTGTTTACGCATTTCAATGCTGATCCTCAAAACCAGAGTTTGTGTTGAAGTTGCCAGAAGTGAACGAGGTTCTCACATTAACAGGAGCCAAAGTTTAGTTTGTTGCTTCCAGCTGTTTGCAGGACTTTTTCCTCTGAGTTTATTAAATATCTGTAGCATCAGACAGCAGCAGGATCCATGCGAGGTGCCAACAAGAACAAGCTGTCCGAAACCAACCTCAAATCACGTCCAAAACTAGACCAAAATCAGGTCTAAAACCAGCCTAAAAGCAGCTCAAAACCAGCTAAAAATTAGTCCAGAACTAGACCAAAATTAGTCTAAAACAAAGTCCAAAACTGCTCCAAAACAAGTCAAATTCTGGTCCAAAACCAGGTCCATAACCAGTCCAAAAACAATGTAGAACTAAGACCAAAACCAGGTCAAAAGCCTATTCAAACCAGGTCCAAAACCAGTTCTGAACAAAGTCACAACCAAGTCCAAAATTAGTCCAAAACCAACCACAAACCATCTTTAAAACTAGTCCTCAACCAAGTCCAAAACCCACTCTAGAACCAGTCCAGACCAAGTCCAGACCAGGTTCAAAACCCACTCTATAACCAGTCCAGACCAAGTCTAGACCAAGTTGTAAATCCACTCTATAACCAGTCCAGACCAGGTTCAAAACCAGGTCCAAAGCAAAATTCAAAACCAAATCCAAATCAAATTCCACATGAGTTAAAACCAGATCCAGAAGTGTACTCCAAACACTCCATCTGTCGCTCCACCACAGCCGTCCAGCCGTGGTGACGTAAACAAATGACACGTGACTGCAGATTTTACTGTTACAGCCTGTTATTGAATGTCCAGCTGAAAATGGCTTTTCAAAGGCTGAATGTAAAAATGAACTAAATAAATAAAACGATGCATAATAATACAGTGATGGGGTGTAGAAGTTTGCACCCAGACTCAGAACAATGAATTTTTCTGGGTTTTCTCTAGAAGAGTTCTGAGGCTCTGTTGGAGGGAAATTCTGTGAGAGGCTCAGCAGCGTCCAGGCTGTGAGCTGATCCCCTGCAGCCTGGTTCAGAACATTCCTGTCAGGACAGAGTGCAGTGGCATTACTGATCACTGCTCTTACAAAGGAAATACACTGAAATACGACAAAAAGAAAGAAAGAGTTGTTTGAAGGAATAGCGGCTCGCCACTCCTAAATGAATGTCGAGGAAACACTGGCTTTATTATGCAGAACCTAAAAGCTTAATCGAAACTAAACGGGTGATTTCTGTGAGAATTATCTCTGCACTTTAGTCATGAAGGGTTGCATTAACGACAGAGACCAAAACCAGTTTCATTCCCAGTTGTAAACATGTTCAACGTGGAGGTCTGTGGGATGGACTCTCTCTGGAGCCTCCAGTGGACATTGGAGGAACACTTTTTCAACCAGGTTTCTGCTTTTGACTGATTTCCTGTTGAAATTTGCTTCCAGTGATTATGAACTCTGGATGTGGACAGTCTCACTGGCTGCAGCGCTTTTTAATTTTCCTTTAATAACACGTGATGAATGACGGCTCTTAACTTTACAAGCTCAAGAAGAACAACAACATGTGAGAGACTGAATGAAGCATCTGCTGTGGAGGTGTGAGTCACGGCTGACTGGTTAACACTCGCTTCCTCCCGTTTACGAGGAGTTTGTTCAGTTTAGCGGTAGCATGGAAACCACAGATTCCTGCAGGAACGATGCCGTCATCCGTCTGAATCACCGCCACAGGGTGAAACGACAGGTTTTTAATAGGAAGCACTCACACCTTTGTCCTCTTTCTGATAAGTTTCAGGTCTGACTGGATAAAATTGCCGATTTTGATTGAATATTTTCTTAAACATCTCATTTGACATGCGTTTTAAAACCTAGATTTATGACTGAGACCAGCACCACATGTCAGAACTGCTTCATTCCATCTTGTTGTGTCTGAAATGAGTCCACACATCAGCACAACAAACTGCTGTTTGTTTCAATATCAGTTCATGTTCAGACAGGCTCTGAGGATTTTATTTATGTAAACCCTTTAAAGTCACATTACTTCTCAGTTTTTAATCATCCAGATCTGCTCTTTCAGTTTATGTCCATGTTTTTGCAGTTTTATTGATCGGACTCGTTTCTACCAGCTGAGGTGTTGAAGTCACGCCGTGTGTCCACACGTCAGTGATGGAATCGACAGGATGACATAAAAACAGTCCAACGCTTCCTGAATCTCCGTGTTTGTGAGGACGTTGTTGTTGTGAAGCCTCAGGTTTAACCCTCTGGACTCAGTCCCATGTTCCTTCACTGAGGTTCATGTTTCTCTGCACCTGTGGAACCAGAACCACATGAAGGAGAGAGAACTCAGAGCTGTCTTCTGTCAGTTTGACAAGTGTACCATCAGCTGTAGAAAGATGTTCCACCATCAGATGTAGAAAGATGTTCCACCATCAG